AATTGGCTACAAGAGTGTTGTGGTGCTCGCTCTGATTGGTCCGATTTGTTTTTTCCCCCTATTTATAAAGCCAGGACTACAGTATGTACAAACATAATATTTTTTGTTTGTTTGTTTTTGTTTTTGAGAAATCGCTTACTGCACCTTTAAGGTCAATTTATGATTAAAAAAAATAATTTAAAAAATCCTGTCCTTAGTGACCATGGGAATATTAAATAAATATCCAAATGGATAAAAAAGAAAGAAAATATGATTCTTAAACTTCTTTTAATACAATTAATACATATATGGCAGAACAGATCAAATAACCTTTAAATACATGTGTTACTTAAAGTGATGATTAAATGTGTGCAAAACACAAAGTTAGCTGCAAACATGTAAATACAGCTAAGCTATTGAAAGTACTTGAAATAGTACTGAAACTTATGTGGATAAACAAGACTAACCAATTTCATATTGTCACTTTTTCTGCACTATGCTGGAGCAGACCTCGCTGAATTTAGCTCCACAAAATAGAATGTACGGGTGGTTTTCAAGCTTTTCAGGATGGATCAGTTTTAAGGTAATATAAACTGCAACTCTGTTAAATTGATTCAGCATTTATGCTCCGTTAACAAATATGCTATGCATCACTTTTTTCTGACACAATAGGGGAAAAAAGACACAGGGATGCCCAAAATATCTTCCTGTGAGTATGATTTTTACATTCATATACGATTTGTAATAGTATAGATTTTTGTAGTTAATTAGTTGAATATAGCGTACTTGATTTTCAGTAGTTTTTATTATATATGAAACGGAAAAAGAAGAAACCAAAATTCTCCATAAACCTTTTTATTTACTAAAGGTTTTCAGTATAGTTTAATTCATTTTTGTTGTTGTGAGGGTCAAACTGAATTCATTTTGGTTTCATAATGACTTTGGTCTGAACCCCTAATGATTCATTCTTTTTACAGGCGAAACCGATCCTAAAGTTGCATCAGAACTGTAGGGTATCAGAGTGAATCAGACAATTTAAGATTCGATCAGATTGGTGTTGAACAAATTTGACCAAATTCCACAAAGAGGCCCAGGATGACATTAGACCACGTCATAAATCTGTCCAAGATACCCTGGCGCCACAAGACTAAAGCAAGTCTAACTAACCAACTCTTTCACAGAACAGCTTTCAACATTAACACAAAAGAACACATTGATCATTTCAACTCAGAAAGGAGATTGTCAAATTTGGGGCAAGTAACCAAGATTAATGATCAAAGACACAGCATATCATGACCATCCAACGTGATCTCATGATAATTCGTATGTATTTTACGTAAAATGTGGTTCTATAAAACGTACATTTACTTACGTTTTTACAGGCACTAAAACGTACAAATACTTACGTATTTTCAGCATTTTAACGTACAAAACTGACGTATTGACGACATCCTTTATGAATATTGAAATCGCGGCATTAATTTTATTAGTTTTTAGTTGTCATATGAATTAACTTGTTTTCAGTTGCATTATTAAATTGTTTACTTACGAAATAACATTTCGTTTTGTTGTGATTTCTGCTGCCAGCTCGTTTCCAAGAATATGCCTACATAATGTTAAACACGACTTCACTTGAAACCTTAAAATAATTTAACCTTTACTTGTCATGTAATGTTTACTTTGATTGTCATGGGCCACAAAAGGCGTTTTCTCCGACTTGCTGTGACTGACAATAGAACTATAAAATACACCAAAAACGCAACATAATTATGAAATGAAACAATAGGTTAAGGGGTCTAAAAAGCGAAATCGCTTATTGATAAAATGATAAAAATGCATTGATTTGAATATCTAAATGATATAAAAGATACGTAAATATTTTTACGTTTTAATTAACAACATAAATTCTGCTCTAGATCACACAAACCTACTGTATTCCGCTAGAGAGGACTGCGGGTGCAACGCATGGTCATTTGGATTACTTTTAGTGCTGCTTTTGACATTTTTGCAATAAATAAATGATTGTAACGTTAATTGCATTTATCTGTCTGTCATGTTTTTCTTATACTGTACAGAAATGTTTAGGCTTATAGGTAGGAGTGGAATTAGCGACTATAAATATATTTTAATGCTATATTGTTACTAAAAGTTTTATTTTCCTGCGTATTTCGGTCATTTGCGTTTTATATCCTTTATATATCGCTATAAAATGGATAGGTTTAGGTTTGGGAGTAGGTTAAGGGGTCTAAAAATCTAAATTAAGTATTAATAAAATGATAATGCATATTCGCTATAAAATGGGTAGGTTTAGGTTTGGGGGTAGGTTAAGGGGTCTAAAAAGCGAAATCGCTTATTGATAAAATGATAAAAATGCATTGATTTGAATATCTAAATGATATAAAAGATACGTAAATATTTTTACGTTTTTTAGCTAAAAATACGTAGCGATTTGTACGTTTTAAACGTTGAAATACGTCTAAATTGTACGTTTTAGCATGACTAAAAACGTACAAAAGTGTACGTTTTGTGCTTGTAAATGTTACGTATTAATTCCTACGTATAAACATGAGACCAGGCATGAGGAAAATCATTAGTAGAAACTGCCTTGGGTGGTTTCCCCCACCTAGAAGACAAAGACCAGACTGAGATTCCTTATGAGACCTTTTAACCTCTGGTCTTCACAGAACATGTCCTTATGTTCACAGAATGGCACAGAAACTACCTATCCATGTATATATGCACCTAAATGACGCTAAAGGGACTTATGAGCAACTAATCATTTCTATGCATAACTCCATATTATGTATGTAACCCACACATTTGACTAGCATGTTCTAATCACTTATTGTGTATGTATTTTGAACAACTATGGAATAGTTTATAGGATTATATTCATGTTGAAAACTATGCCCCTATATACAGTCAAAATATAATGACAGTAAGTACCGTATGTTATTAAATTGATTAAGATGTATTTATTAAAATTATGTTATAGCAAATGAGTGAGTTTTTTCTGTTATCTTGTAAATGTTACGTATTAATTCCTACGTATAAACATGAGACCAGGCATGAGGAAAATCATTAGTAGAAACTGCCTTGGGTGGTTTCCCCCACCTAGAAGACAAAGACCAGACTGAGATTCCTTATGAGACCTTTTAACCTCTGGTCTTCACAGAACATGTCCTTATGTTCACAGAATGGCACAGAAACTACCTATCCATGTATATATGAAAAAAAATGACGCTAAAGGGACTTATGAGCAACAAAACATTACTATAAATAAAACCATATTATGTATGTAACACATTTGACTAGCATGTTCTAATCACTTATTGTGTATGTATTTTGAACAACTATGGAATAGTTTATAGGATTATATTCATGTTGAAAACTATGCCCCTATATACAGTCAAAATATAATGACAGTAAGTACCGTATGTTATTAAATTGATTAAGATGTATTTATTAAAATTATGTTATAGCAAATGAGTGAGTTTTTTCTGTTATGTAAAGTGCTTCAGTGTAGGTATTTAGCTGATGATTGCTGTGTGAAATTGGCAGTTATCTTAGAACAGCTTATAACTGACTTGTTCGGGGGCACTATACCTTCTCCCCTTTGTGATCGGAATTTAAAATGTGTGTCAGTGTATGTGTAGAAAAGCATCGTTCTCTCAATCTATACATTTACAACATATATTTTCTGTTAAGCAGCTGCAGTACACAAACCCTGCCATTGAGAATGTCAGAATATTAAAGGCTTAGTTGCCACAAAGTGAAAATTCTGTTATCATATACTCATATATTTATTGATCCACACTCATATGACATTCTTTCTTCTGTGCAAATCCAATGTATTTGAGCCTTATTGTTTTTGTCCTGACACTGATTTATTAAAAGGATCTATCAATCTTTTTGGCAGACGCTTCCTGAACAGAGCACTGTAGTCTCTTTAAAGCATCATTGTAAAAACAAATCATAGCATGAGCATTATGTGAATAAAATTGAAATGTACCAGAATTAATCAGTGGATTATGTGAATTATTAGGGATCATTTCTGCTTGAACATTAATTTCTCAAAAACGGTTACTGAAAAGATCTATTCTGAAACTATAACTGAAACAGAAAGTTTTCTCTAAACAATTTCATTGTGACAGAGCTTCTCTTTACATTTAAAGGCTTCAATTTCTCAGTACAGATGAAGGAAGCTTTAATGAAACAAAAAGTGACAATCACCTCAGTGGCCAGACCTTGGCAGTATAAAAACAGAGTTGCTGAAATCTCATTATTCATAATATCATCTGTCAGACATTTGAGAGATTATACAAGATCAAAAACAAAATGAAAACAACTACGTTCATTGTTCTCGTCTGTCTCCTTGTGGTGGAGGTGAAAGGTGAGCTCTCTCTCTCATAAAAATAATGTTTTATGTTTGTTTTTCACATTAAAATGAACTTAGTGTGATACTTTGAAATAAGAATTCTAAAACTGATCTGAAATTAACACTGGGTTGTTTCAGGCCATTCACTGGATGTGAAGGGCAGATACATTTGTGCTGATAAAGGAGTGAATAAAGTCTCTCGAAAGGCAACCGAGAAGGTTGAAATCATCCTTCCAAGTCCTTCTTGGAAAAGACTGGAGATTGTGTAAGCATGTTATTTTTGTTTATACATAAATGCTTTGTCTTAGATATCAAATAACTGCCCATTTTCTTTGCGTCTTGTTTGTGAAGTGTCACTATGAGAGGAGCAGGGCAGAAATGCTTGAATCCAGGGTCAAGATTTACCAAGAAGTATATACTGACAGCCATTCAAAAAATGTCAGCATGTAAATATATTTATTTCCTTGAAATTCAGTTTAAAAATATAAACATCAGGCCTGCATGGTGAGACAGTCTCTAATTTAAATGAATGCTAGGAAATGAGGCAATCGTGGCCTAATGTTAGAGAGTATGATCTGTGATCACTCTGAGACTCGAAAGGTTGCAGGTTCGAGTCTCAGGTCTGGCAGGGATTGTCTGTGGGGGGAGTGAATGAACAGTGCTCTCTTCCACCCTCAATGACTGAGGTGAGACCCTTGAGCAAGGCACCGAACCCCCAACTGCTCCCTGGGTGCTGCAGCAAAATAGCTGCTCTGTGTTTGTGTGTTCACTACACACTGCTGTGTGTGCACTTGGATGGGTTAAATGCAGAGCACAAATTCTGAGTATGGGATGCCCTTTGACTTTCACATCACTTTTACTTTCACTTCCGAAAAAAGTACTATTCATTCTCTAGTCTTCTCTTAGCAGAAACAAGAGAAGTATGAATCAGTATGAATCAAGTAGAGCCAATGTCCTGATCCATGGATCCGCCTGTGTTGATTGATCTTGAAATCAATAACCAAATCTCTAAAAATCATCTGCTTTCATACATAGTGCCTGAAAAACTGGAGACTAAATTGATACTTTTATTTAACTGACCTCTAAATGCTCTGATATATTCAGTGTACACTAGATTGCACTAGATTGCTGTTCGTGATTTGTTCTCAAGTTCTTTCTTTATCCTATTCTCACAATGAAGGATATGTTGTGAAAAAGGAATTATTGACATCATGTCAACAACATGGGTGCACTTTCCCATCTAAGAATCAAATATCATAAAATATCAGTTTCACTTGACTGTCTGCATTGCAAACTTTAATTAATTATATTTATTAAAGCACAAGCATGAAATACTAAAGTCAAAATACTTTTAAGGCATAGTACTTTGATGGGAGGCACTTCTGTCTTGAACATTATGTAATAGCTAATTATTCTCTCTCTCTCGCTCTCTCTCTCTCTCGCTTTCACTCTCTTTTTCTCTCTCTGAAAAGTA